ACATGATTGACGGGATAGCGAGAACACTTTCAAAGCTGGGGTGGAGAAGACAAAACAAACATGATGGCTTCACGATCCTCTCTTTCTTGTTCGTTTTGTAACCAAACTTCAAATATTTCGCCTTCAAAGTTAGTGACAAGCGTGATTTATTTTATGAGAATAGAGAACTTGTATCATTGAACTTCAATGTCCTTCAATGCCTACATTTATGTCACATTGAAGTCATTCGCCAGTGGGTAACCATGACATAACTGATCCGTTATCTATCGCGCTTCTAGGTAACTCCTGCAGCGACTCCGAAGGCTTCTGCGCCCACTCGCCCAAGCGGCCGATCCAGGAATTCATCGGGGTGGAGTGTGCAGCATTTCTGTACCACTGGAGTTTTGGTGCCCCTTAAGAATAAAAGTTCGTGGCCCTTTAAAGTGCCCTCTGGAAGTAGGCGTCTCTTGAACATAACGATTAGGTGAGCCGAGACGAAGGTTTTGGTGCTTTTCCGGATGGACCTACTCAGAATTTCTTCACCAGATATGTCACGGCCATCATGATGACCTTGAAGTTAGGTGGATGTTGAAAAAGAAGATTTTGGCCCCTTTGTGCTGCCCCTGGAATTTGAAGCCTTTGACAAATAAACATAAGCTGGTCCCGAAATGAAAGCCTTGGTGCCCCTTCATCACGATATTCTAGTGTTTTGAAGAGGCACGACATATTCATCCCGGCCAAAGGGGGGGGGGGGACATCGCTCCACATTCCTCGCTCTAATCTGCCCCCTTGTCAGAAGCCATTAGTTGAAAAATAAATACCTTAAACTTCGATGGCGGTGCTTGAAGTGAGCATCGTTTCTACACTCATAGTAAGTTATAGTTTTTTATCCATGGTATTGTAGCTATTTCATAGTTTTGAGGCATCCAGTTTTTCACGTCACTTGTGGGGTACCTAGGATTTCATCCCAGAGGTGCCAGGAGGCAGACGCGTGCTCCACCCCCCAATGCACGTCAACATGAAACTTGCCAAGTCCAAAATAATTTCGCCATAGCTCACATCCCAAGGCCCCAACCGTTCAATCCCCATAAGATAAGAGCTCCACCCACCACTTGTGGAAAGTTTAACGCTCTACACCCATTTGGCGTTTTGCCAAAAAAGTAAACAGTCAAAATTAACGGAAAGAAATCTGGCGGAAGTCAACTATTCCGTTATCTTTCCAACTTGTTTTTTCAGCTTGCTTTTTCCAATCACACATTTAGTGTTGGCTTATACATTACCGTTTTGACGGATTCGTGCCCATCTCTGAAAATATGTCATGCTTATGGGACCATTGGAACTTTTCCGGGCAGAAACGGTGATAATTTTTCCACGATGCAGCAAAGCAGAATTAATCAGAATATATATATATATATATATATATATATATCTACACACACACACACACACATATATATATATATATATATATATATATATATATATATATATATATATATATATATATATATGTAAATATGATATATTCGCCACTGGGACATGGCGCATGTGCTGCCGAAGAAGAATGATACGCGCAGATAAAAACAAAACAGCACGCGTATTACTAATCGACGATAAGATGTCATTTTGGTTAGGATCTGCAGAGCAGCCAACCTCCAACAAACTGCAATGTTGTCTTCACCTCACCAAAAAGCCAGCTCTTAAATGAATGAAAAGAGTGAAAGAAACTACGACAGAAAGTTGTTCCGAAAAGGAGGAAGGAAAATTTCAACTACATTCCATTTTTCAGACTCTTCCTGTGAGAAGATATCTCGATTTTGTACATGAAAACTCAAAGATGAGGCCAACTAGAGTTTGGAGAAACGTCAAACCCACTCAATCTAAAAGTTCGGTGGGTGCCAGTCCCCTCCCCTCCCCCTCCCCCCCCCCCCGTTCCCACACATGTGATGTGTCCACAGCTGATGCGACTTCGACAGTTGCAGATATTGACGACCATCTACAGTACGTTTGCTGACCTTGGCACGATAACAAAAACTGGTCTTACTAGTGCAGCTGTCGCAATTGTTGCCGATCGCCGTACGGCAAAGCTGGCTTTGTGCGCGTTGTCAGAGACCTGGTGGCAGCAAAGTATGCCTCGAACCGGCTGGAAATGGCAACGAAGGGAGTGTGCCATACTTTGGTGCTATTGAAAATAGGGTGAAATATCATCGCTAGTGACATCAACGCATCGTCTAAAAATAACATTGTAGAGCGATGCTGCAGCACTACCTGGTTAAGATAAGCAAATCAGTCTGTGCCATTGCGGAGTCAAAATTACCCTGCAAACGTTTCGCCACATCACAAGGCATATTTCTTTCTTTTTAGCCCGATATTTCATTTCTGGCGTGGGCGATCTTGTGACATACAAAGACCTTTAAGTGCGATATTCATTGCAGTCTCCGTGACTGCGTGCAGAGATTTCACGTCAGTCTCGCACCAAGTCCACATGACCATTGACATAAGAGAGTGTTAAAGACCACAGGCCCTCAAAGCGGTCCCCCAGTCGGAAGCAGCTGACGACGGTAAAATTTGCTGCAGGCTATCACCAATTGCTACGGACCAGAAGCATATCTTTTGGGCTCTGTTTACTTAGCTACTGGTATCAAAATGGCACCTGTACTTTGAACAAGGTCAAACAAATATTTGTGATTGCCACAGCCATTTAGCGAATAATGCATTGCCGGAAGCCTGAGCCAGCGCGTCACCAGATCATCGGACCGTCTGAGATGGCGCTGGCGTATTCCTGCTTTGGAAACAGAGACTCACAGCAAACTAAGAAGCCAAGAAAACAATGTCTTCCAAAGTCATTCTACGTTTCCAAAAGAGTCGCTGTGCTTAAAAGGAGGGCTCCACATTTGTGCAGGGTTCTGAACTGAAATAGCCAAATTGAAGATTATTTGATGCAGTTTCCAACCCTGCCTTCCCAAGACCTAAATGCCTCTAGTTTCTGAGGTACACGCCCGCCAGGATATGTAAACTCTTTTGGGGAGACTCTTTCAGCGCCACCCAGGCATCAATGGCGCCATAATGGCGTCACTCGAGTCCCGCCATTTCACTGACCACACGGTGATCAAGGCAAAACAAAATGTTCGAGACGTTCGTATCTGGTGTAACATCCCGTGTACAGCTCATTTACAGATGAAAGGCTCTCAATCCATGTGGTGCAAGGCGCCATGACATAATCAAACAATAGTGTTTTCAGCAGCATATTTACTAGCAAGAGAAGGCATGCTGTCTAGAGCAGTCTTTTCTACTTAAAGGTGTACCAACTGTTATAAGTGAGCATATTTCTACAACTTTTGATGCTTACTTCAATATCTTCAAAGGCTCAGCATTTCATTTCATGCAAGTTTGTAAAAGCAAATGTACCTTGAATCAGCTTCTTAGGCGTTTGCTCGATTTTTCGAATTAAATCCTTCCTTGTTTTCAGAAAGTCGTAAAACAGTTCGTTTACAGCCATTAACATTATCTGAAGGCAACATTTCAAGCACTTTCGTTCCCTATCCTCAAAGCAATATAAAACAGTCGGACGGAAACATATGTATGTAAGCATATGGAGTATGGCTAAATACGAGGCATGCTCTGCGAGAGATGATCGAAGGTGACCCGTCAGCTAACATATTATATATCCGAATATTGGATCAAATTACAAAACACATACTAACAGGTACACATCACTTTTCAAGCCGGTTTGACACCATGGCAAGTTCAAGACATCGAATCGCCTTGCTGCCATTGGGTGACTGAAGTAATCAAAAGTGATGCGTGATTTAAGCTGTATGTTTAAGTCAGGCACGGTTTCTTTGATGAGGATGGCTTCGAGAACCTGTAAACGGCCTTTGTTTGGACATGACTTTAGAATCAGTGTGTTTTCAGTAAGGCATGGACGTAAGAGTTTTTGATTATGGGTTTTGCGCACATGCCGGTCCGGCACTCCCTCCTGAAAGTGCACTATCTTGCGTAGCGACAAATACGCCATTGTCATTCCAGTGCAGGTCGAGCTGAGGAGCCGGCAGTCTTCCTGCGAGCATTTAAATTCATACACTTTATTGGTGCACTTCAGCTGGTCTCGGTCTCCTGCTGGGTTGTCCATTACAAGGCTACTAGCCTCTTGCAATAGACAGTAAGCCTTATTTCAAACCGATTTTGACTTGCCGAAAACAATGAGGGCTTAAAGTAGAAGAATCGAGCAAACACACAAGAAACTGATTAAGGGTTCATTTTCCTTTGCATATAACAAAACTTGCGTTAACGAAAGCATGCTGCCTAAGTACACGCGAATATATATATATATATATATATATATATATATATATATATATATATATATATATATATATATATATATATATATATATATATATATATATATATATATATATATATATATATATATATGAGGACATATAAACAACTGACTCACCCCGGTATGTTTGAGCATAAATGATTTTCACTGTGCGGGCGATCATCCGGGAACAACAGACAGGATCCATCAGAGAAGATCATGTCAACACGGCTGTTTTGCAATGACATATCACTGGGATTTCTCCTAAGTGGTGCTCCGAAGAGTGCCTATATGGCCTATAGAGCCCAAGAATGCCCATATATGCCTAAGAATAACCTTTAAGCATGCTTGAATTACCGGCCGGCTACATCAGACGAACCGGCCGGCTACATCAGACGAACCGGCCGGCTAGATCAGACGAACCGAGGGGCTACATCAGACGAACCGACCGGCTACATCAGACGAACCGACCGGCTACATCAGACAAACCGGTCGAGCCCATCAGCACCAGCCATCTACGCAGAAAGAACACACAGGCACGTACGCTTCCCCGGCTACACGGGGAGGGGGAGGGGGGGGGGGGCACCCCGACCCAGAGGGCGGTTTGGGCAGGTCCGCCCGTGACCTTGATAGGGGTCGCCGAGTGCTCCGGCAGGCGGCCGCCCGGTCCGAAATCGCCACCACTCAGTCACTACCATGGCGCAGAACGGGGAGCACACGGAGAAGAAGAAGCTCAAGTGGTCGCTCTCCAAACAGGTACGGTGTGATCTCAGAGCGACGCAGCGAACGCAGCTCACACGACGTGACACTGTTGAAGTTTCGCTTTCCCCTGCAGTGGAAGCAGCGCCACCGGGAGGGGCGGCGTGGGCCGGTATTTGAGTTTTATGGAATAATGTAGTTGGTAATGGCATATAAACAACAATGTTTGTATATTGTGCCAGTCTCATCAACATCAGCGTCACCATCACCTTTAATACAAAAAACATATTCTGTGTATGTGATAAGCATCTGAGCCAATACAAAGAAAACAAACAAAAAAGCACGCGTAATTGTTTTTCTTCTTTTTTTTGCTAACGCGGAAGCAGAAGGAACTAGCAATATGATCCATAAAGCTCATATTTACGTCTTTTTATCGATGAAATGCGTGCTTCCTGTAAGACTGACATAAATTAAAGGTTATTCAATCAGCCTGGTTAGGGTGCCTCTTTATTGTGTCTTAGCGGACGTAGTACGAAACCAGTTACTCTGACGAATAATGCAAATACATGTGCTGTTTTACACTCTTAGTACTTCGGAGTCGTCTTTGGTGCTCCTGAGTGTTCTTATTTATTTGGTCATGTAGGACAGCCGCGAATTAGCATATTACATGTAGCTTAAACGACCGAACAATCCAAACGCCATGCCTTCTTTAACAGGCGCTCATGTGATGGGGTCAATTCGCCTCCCCCTTGAGGTTCTTCCAGAAGGATTTTTTGAATTTTTGAACAGGGCAGCTCGATCGCGCCAAGCTTTTGATGGCTGTGCGTAATTGAACAGCTGATCTTTTGGTGCGTAAAGTTAAGTAAACTTTACAAAGTTGCTGATCTGTAGCAGGTTTAAGTCAGACTATGGATGTCAATGAAGGCAATTCTCGGATAATTTTTCAATCTGATGTGACAACGGGAGGTAAGAAAAAGTTATGCAAGTTTGAAGTGGTTTTGGTAATTACAAAATGGAAGTTATAACAACAACTTAGTCTATTGCCGTTGGATACGACACATACGCTAGATCAAGGTCAAACCCAATCTACGTTTTGCAGAAAAGCTTTAGTTATGTTTTTGCGCTTTTTTGACTTATTTGGTGCCTTGATGGCCAACAGACTCTTTTTTATTTCAATAAGGTCAGTAGAGGTGACTGATCCAAAACTAATTCAATCAACTGTTTGGTAATAGGAAAATGCCGCCCAGGATGGTTTTGACGTCGATTATGACTAGAAGTTACTGAATAATCTCCGAGAACTTTGGTCGTTAAGCATTTCCAGGACCAGATAAAGTCACACATCTTATATGAAAGCGAGTGACTTTTTGCCTAGAAAAGGTGTCTACCTGTAAGTTAGTTGAAGCTTAATCATCAAATTTGGATACCAACTAATTTACATGGAGCGCTACCTACCCTGCGAGTTTGGTACTCCCAGCTGTTAGTCTTTGGGATCTTAGTGAATCAAATTGGCGCCTTCTCCGCTCAAATGCTTGCATATATATACCCATACTTGAATGTACACACTTTAACTTGGTCTTTACCCTTGATCATTAAAATATGTGTACAGGTGTATATATACATAATGTGTGTGTGTGTGTGTGTGTGTGTGTGTGTGTGTGTGTGTGTGTGTGTGTGTGTGTGTGTGTGTGTGTGTGTGTGTGTGTGTGTGTGTGTGTGTGTGTGTGTGTGTGTGTGTGTGTGTGTGTGTGTGTGTGTGTGTGTGTGTGTGTGTGTGTGTGTGTGTGTGTGTGTGTGTGTGTGTGTGTGTGTGTGTGTGTGTGTGTGTGTGTGTGTGTGTGTGTATGTGTGTGTGTGTGTGTGTGTGTGTGTGTGTGTGTGTGTGTGTATGTGTGTATGTATGTGTGTGTTTATGTGTGCAGCCGTATGTGGCATGAGAAGTAACTCGCAGCATGTGCCCAAAAAAGCTTATCCCGTGGGAAGGCTGAGGCGCATGTGCCAGTGGAAGCCCGCAGACAGGCTGCACGATGCACCAGCTAGGATCAAGGTCACATTCAAATTTATTTCATTGACGAACCACTCCAACAAGTAGGTTAGCTTGCTTTAGTACAAATATAACAGTAACATAAATGAAGCATAAAAATGGCAACGTGAACACATGCGCACCTCATTGATCATTCCGTCGTTCACACACTTTGTCAAAAGCGTAATAATCATTTATGGCCATAACATGTTACACAATGGCAAGCGTATCGTCCACTACGATACAGAGCTCCCTGCGGGTGTGGGCGGTGACGCGGGCGGCAGGCGGCTCCAGGATGAGGTCGCGCCATACGAAGAGGTAGTGGGTGCCTCCAACAGACAGGGAGCTGGCAGATTTAGGGCGCCTGTGGCTGCATACTGTTCGTGCCCGTGGCTGCATACTGTTCGTGCCCGTGGCTGCATACTGTTCGTGCCCGTGGCTGCATACTGTTCGTGCCCGTGGCTGCGTACTGCTTGTGCCCGTGGCAGGTGGTACACTGGCGTGGAGCGGTACGTGGGGTGAACAGGAACCGGGTCGAGACCAGAGCAATGGTGGGTCATTAAAGGGAATGTTTCACATTTGAAGATATTGAAGCAAGCATCAGATATGATGGAACAAGCTCATTTTAAACTATTGGTATGCTTTGTTAGTGAAAGACTGCTCTAGACGGCACAATTCTCGTTACAAAATACGCTCCTCAATGCGTCATAATTGGGTTATGTTAATGTACCTTGCACAATACTGATTGAGAGCGCATTGACAGCCGTTATATCTGGAATCGCGCTCACGACCGCCGGATATGAACGCCTCGACAATGATATTTTTATTGGCCTTGATCGCCGCATGGCCTGTGGGATAGCAGGATTTGAATGACCTTATTATGACGTCATGAGTGACAAGGTGACTTTGAAATGCTCTCCCCGATAAGCATTATCCCATCTTCGGGGGCGTGTAACTCAGAAACTAGATGGGCTTAGGTCTAAAGTGGGGCAGGATCGTGAACATGACCGACAGGTCTCGAAAATGGTTATTTCAGCTCAAAATCCCATATAAATGTGGAACGCTTCCTCCAAAGGCCCTGAACATAGCGACAGCCGTCGCCATCGAATCTCGGTGGCGAGCCTCGGTGATGATCATGGCCCCAAAGTTTACCACCCCTTCCGACCTGTTTAGGTAACACGTTCCAGCCCTACCCCAGACGGAGAGGCACTGCAGAAGATAGTGGATAACGTGGGACAGGATGAGGAGTTTACAAACCTCGGACGTAAAGTGGTGTCGAATTTTATGCCGGTAGAAAAGAATGGAGTTGCACTTTTTGACAGCGTGGGACATGTGCATCTCCCGGGGAAGACTACCTTCAATATTAACCCACGGCATCTCAAGTGACGACAAAGGGACAGTGTATGCATTCCGACAGACGTAATATGTTTCCCGCAATGCCAAGGTGAAGGGATGACGTAATCAAACCACGACGCATTGAGGAGCGTATTCACTAAGCAGAAAATTTACTGTCAAGAGCGCTTCTCTCCGCTTAAAAGCATGCCAATAGTTATAAGTGAACTCATTTCATCATATACGGCACTTGCTTCGATGTCTTCAAATGTGGAACATTCCCTTTAACCAGAAAATGATGCGGGGAAACCCGACAAGAAACCCGACTCCTTTCACTTGTGCATTTATCTATACGTAAGTTGTTCAGTGCATCAGCGAGGAACATTAGTCCCATAGATAAGACAGTCGCATTAGCCTTATTCCTCGGAAAAACCAGGATAATAGGGATATAGGTAGTTTGATATTTGGGCAACATGCCGCAATCGAAGCATCACCAGAGGCCTTCTGCTATCGTTTCGATTGCGGCATGTTGCCGAAATATCAACCTAACTTTATCTCTATTCTCCTAGTTTTTCCAAGGAATAAGCCTAGTACTACTGTCTTATCTATGCTTCTTTTTTGAAGGCGTAAAACTCTCAAACATGTCGGCCCCATCGTGCCACCAAAGCCGCTTTTCTGGGAGATGAAGTGCTATCAATTGGCCTAAATAACTCAAATCAGTGGTAGCAATAACGTTTTCCTTCAACAGGTTTATAGATTCTTAGGAACGACGAAATCCCGATGTAATCTGGCAAATCCGGCCAACCGCCCATTGAAAACCGTTGCAGATTCGCAAATGACCGCTGGTTTATTAACGTTTTGGGACTCCCAGCGATTGACTCCCAGTGACGTTACCGTAGGGCTATCGCTAGCGACTCATCCTTGCCTATGACCAAAAACATTCCCTTGCATCCGCTGCTCTTCTGCCATCTCCGATATTTCACTCGCGCCCCGCGAACATCAACTCGAGCTGCCATCGTGAACACACGAGTTAGTTATAGCCCGTGATCTTCAGCGACATTTACACAAAAACATATTTCAAATGCGCATAATGATACACTACTTTTTACGCAGACCACGCAGGCCAAGCCTAACCCTTGTCTTGTCACGTTTCTTTTTCAACTTCCAGTTCGTGTCTACACCATCATAGATAACCGCATATCAAAACCGGGGTTGTGGTGTCACACACCTGCCAGGATTCCAAGATAGGCCTGGCGCGCCGCGGCGCGTTGCCAAGCGTGATACAACTCGCAATGGGTTGGTCTCATGCCGACCTTGAATGCCGAGATTTTAAAGGAAGCGTTGGAGAAGACGAGAGCTGTTCTCGCAGCTCAGCCGGTGAACCAAGGGACGCACAACTGATGTGTGCCACGCACGCGCTCTGGTATACCGGAAACAACGTTTGTGTACGTTTGTGTACGTTTGTGTACGTATGCGTACGTCATCTCTGACAGCCAGTTGGTAGCTAACCAGCACGGACGGCTGAAAACTGACGAAATTGCGGAGCGTGTTAGTCTTGCAAAATAATCACACACAGAGCAGGAATTTCTCTGACGAAGTGATGCGATTAACGTCTTCACAACAGGTTTGCATGCGGCTCCATTTGGTCGCAGTGATGCCCGCTGAGAGCCAGCTGTTCTGGTTGGCTGGGCTGTCGCGGCTAGTCTGGCTGTCTCAACTGGTTTGACTGGCCCGGATGGTCTGGCTGGCCCGAGTGGTCTGGCTGGCCCAGCTGGTCTGGTCGACCTGGCTGATCTGGCAGGCCCAGCTGGTCTAGCTGGCCCGGCTAGTCTAGCTGCACCGGCTGGTCTAGCTGGCCCGGTTGGTCTGGCTGGCCCGGCTGGTCTAGCTGGCCCAGCTGGTCTGGCTGGCCCAGCTGGTCTGGTCGACCTGGCTGATCTGGCAGACCCAGCCGGTCTGGCTGCCTCGACTGGTCTGGCTGCCCCGACTGGTCTAGCTGTCTCGGCTGGTCTGACTGTTACTGGCCCAGCGAGATATCGTTTCGGTGATGGATTCCGACTCACACCGCCTGGTGATCAATTGGTGATTGTTCATGATTCCATGTCGGTTGTGAGCCACCAGGAGCTACACTCGCAAAGTGCGTTTCATGGACTTTCACGGACTTCATGTCTGATGTCGCAGGACCCGATGCAGACGGTGGTGGAGGACCAGCTATTGGCCAGCAAAAGGTCCAAACTGACGAGGCGGCGCTCCTCTGGCAACTTGGGCGACATTGAGAAGAAACTTGAACAGATCCGACAGAACGGGTGCGTGCGGATGACTCTCGTCAGTGGCGGGCGTGAGCATAGAGCGCCTTGGTGGACTTCAGCCATGCTGGCGCCAGACATGCGGACACGGCGTGTTGTCGTGGTCCGACTAGAGTTATGTGAAGCAAGTGTGCGCCAACGTATTGCCGGTAGGATGAATGCATGTGCTGTTTACGACGCCTTCTATGCACTGGTTGTTCTGTTGCAGGCAAAATCGCCACACCCTTTCACATGTGGAAGACAAGCTCTGTGAGATGTTCCGGGCTAGCGACAAGTCGGGAAGAGTCAACGTCACCAAATTCCTGGAGGCAAGTGTATTCTCGGTGTTGCGTCGGCTCCGTGTGCTGAGTTCATCACAACCATTGGATGACTCAGCTTTCCAGGCGTGATGATAATGCATACGATGGACAGCCATGCAAATGCTTCTATGCCTTGCTTGTGGAAGGCCCTAACCTTACTTCATATGCACGATTTTCTACAAGTACTGTATGTGACTCATCGGTGCATATTTGCGAACTGAGCCCCCTGCTCTCTGATGAACGCTTGCTCTTCCGTGCCAAAGCGGTAACCGTGACCTTGACTCCCTGGTCTTTCTAATTCCCACCTGTTTCAGACATCGGGTACCGTTAATGAGCTTTACCTGACCTTCGCATCGCCTCCTCACACGCAGGCGCTGACCGCCGACGGCCTTGACGTGCCCTCAAAGACCTTTGCATAATACGTACACTCCTGGTGACCTGTGCGTGACTTGTGTATGGAATCTGTGCTCGGCTGCCAGTGACCTGCCCATGACCTCTACATGACCTCCGATGGGCAGGCACTGGCACTGGCCGGCCTGCGGCAGACGGACCCGCGTCTGGTCGAAATGAGACGCGCCATCGCCAGCATCCAGGCCAACTGCGCCAGCGACGTACGCTTCTGGGCCTCCGACGGACTCTGCTTCGATGAGGACGTGTTTAAGGGGTGAGCGGCCAACTCAGGTACTGTCGAGCACGCGCTGATGATGGATCCATGGTGAGCGATACGGTAATAAAATATGAAGGCGTATGCACACGCACGTAGGTACGTATGCATGCACACGCGCGCGCGCACACACACACACACACACACACACACACACACACACACACACACACACACACACACACACACACACACACACACACACACACACACACGCACACGCACACACACACACACATACACGCACACACACACACGCACACACACACACACACACACACACACACACACACACACACACACGCACACACACACACACACACACACACACACACACGCACGAACGCAGTGGCAAATTATCTATTACTCGTTCAGTGTCTAGTTCAGCGGTCCACTCGGAGGCTGACGTCTTGTCTGTTTCCAGTGTCATCATGGACAACATTGACATCATCCACAAGGCATTGACGGGTGATCTCGTGATTCCGCACTTCGAGAGTCTCTGCGAGCACCTCGAGGAGCTGTACGAACTCTGCGAGAAGGACGATAGCGGAAAGGTCAGCGGGTGGCTGACATGGGGACACAAATGACCTTTACGTATTGGGACACATTGGAACGAAAATGACCTTGGCTGGCCCGCTTTCGCAGCTGTTCTGAGGAAACTACTCACTCTGCGTATGTGGCTCGGCAGTAATACTAGCGGCTGGCTGCTCAGCGGCTTAGCGGCTCAGCGACTTAGCGGCTCAGCGGCTTAGCGGCTCAGCGGCTTAGCGGCTCAGCGGCAGCGGCGGGGGCCGAGGTGGCATTAGCGTTGTACAAGCATGTTGTAATAGCGCCCGAGAGCCCAAATACGCAGCCAACCAAAACAATTTGATGTTGCTTATCCTAGCTTGTCTTGTTTCATACCGGCTTCTTCTACACTGGGGTAATGAGCAGGAACGTTTATGACACCGAAAGTAGTTTACCGCGTAATTCCAATTGAGCTTCTAACCCTGCTCAGAGAGCGAGGTCCGCATTCGGGGATTCAGGTAGAGTGTCAATCGAAAAGAGAGCTGAATGGGCACTTCTAATAGTAACATAGCTATTGACAAGCAGGCTCGGGAATGCATTGTCGTGTTCGCCCAGCACATTCATATGAAGAACAAATGGTAGTTGGCATTTCCCTTGCCGTAAAGCATGCCTTTGGTTGCGCCTCTGCCCATGTCCTGAATTTTGTCCGTGGTCCTGTTCACGTCCTTATGTCTCCCCGGCCCTGCTTTTTCTGCACTTGACTCCCTTTTCGTCTCTGTCCTATGTTGTCACTGTCTCCCTCCCCCTCCTAATCATCGGCTCTGTTCCTGTCTCCGCCTTTGTTCCTGTCCCAGTCTCCGCCTCTGCCTCCAGCCCACCGCTGCCCCGCCTGGGCGCGCCTCTGATGGCGCTGGCGGCCTCCTGCGCCAGGTGGCCTCCTACATCCCGCAGCTGGAGCGCTTCGACCCGTCGCTCTGGGGCATCTCGGTGTGCACCGTCGACGGGCAGCGGTACTCCATCGGTGACGTCAGCGTGCCCTTCACCATCCAGTCGACCAGCAAGCCCATCAGCTACGCCATCGCCTGCGCCGAGAAGGGACCCGAATACGTGCACAGGTGAGCTAGGGGGGGGGGGGGACGGCCACCAAATACCTGCACTCGTCACCCGGGATGACTCCGAAAACGCGCCCTCTCCAGTTGGATGTGTTAAGAAGGCACTGACGCCTTACCACCTAGCCATGTTTTAATGTGATCTTCAGATCATTGCCGATCTTACTGTGATTGGCGTCCGAGCATGGCCTTACGGCGTGCTAGACGCTAATACATGGGGAAGATAGGAAGTGCCAATCTAAAGGTCGCCACGTGTAACGCTGCCGGCAGGACAAACACGACTGCTGAGTGCGAACGTTTGCGACCCCGCAATTCAGATCACTTGAACGTGGGATGAATATCCTTTATTCAGGATGAAATTCATGGTAGAACAGGAACGTTGCTGGAAAAACAACGTTGGGATGAAACGTTAGGCACCCCGCTGCGCACTGCGGCATATCCGGGGTATGCGCGCAAGAAATGGCTTCGGAGCTATCTCCTTTTAGTACAGCCTGCAGGTCACAGACATGTCTACCACCGCAGCGGCGTAGTGTCATGAAATAGTGCCACGGCGTACAATGATGCCATTTTTCTGCCAGTGACGTCATTTTTATCGCAGTTTCGTCGGTCAGGAGCCGAGCGGTCGCAGCTTCAACGAGCTGGTGCTGGACAACAGTCTGAAGCCGCACAACCCCATGATCAATGCTGGCGCTATCATGACGTCATCGCTGATTAAGGTGAAGTGAACATGCCGTGCAGTTATCACGATATTAAACACGCGCCTGGGTGGCCACTTGAATGCAACGCACCAGGATGCACAGTGGGGGGGTGGGGAGGGGGGCGGGCGGGTGGCGGGAGGCAATAGATGCCATAGGCTTTCAAGAATGAGGGAGCTAGAAACACCAAATCTACAAGGTCGGCAGTCCCCTATGTGAACTCATTATTGTATCATTCAAGGTTTCCAGATCGTGGCCTTCGTGTCAGATAAGGTCAAACAATGTCAAATTCCAGATCGGTGTCCAAGTCCGCTCAGACCTCATTACGAATCCACCTTTAATCTAGATGCCTATTCTAAGCAAACGGTCACTGGTGTTCGTATCAGGTCAGCAACGTTATTAGACCCACATAAAGTCAAGGGGATACAAAAAATCAGATATGCTTAGAGATATAGATTGGCACAACGTTAGGCCGCACGTTGCTCAAAGAAATAGGTTGATAGGGGTAATTTTGGGTAAGATACCTCCCCCTGACCTTTTTGAGGCCAAATTAGCCCGGCTGTTGACATCCCTGTGAAAATGAAATAAAAAACAACAACTGAGCCATATGAGGTTTTCAGCGATAAAGCTGTCTGGTATTGACCTTGATATTGCCTTTAGACGTTACCCAACCTCAATGGAGTTATGGCAAATCCTTAAATCAAGTTGCTACTTGCCTAAAAAAACATCTCAACGGCATTGGCATCGTCTGCCATTCCGCTGTCGCATCAGATTGAACGATACACGAGGAATTGCCTTTGCTGATAGCCATGTCAGCGACCTTACGAAACATTACTAATTTGCATGCCTAAAGATGGACGATTCAGTTGTCTTTAGGCATGCAGACTTTGGCGCAGTTAAGCCGCAGACACCCTCCTCATCCCACCCCACCTGAGGGCAGGTTAGAGTAACCTTGTGACGGGTTGTGATCACGGTGACGGAGCCATCATGATCACGTGACCAAACCTCGGGTGGCCTGCCGTAATACGTGACCGTGTCCCACATGGTTTCTGTTATCACGTGACCGTCCTTCAGACCGCCTAGAACATCACGTGTCCGTTCAGTCAAACGACTTATGTCGTCTACATGGACCTTCATCAGACCGCCCCCAACACCCGGTGATCCCCGTTCGACCTACGGTGGCTGTCACGTGACCTTGTCTCAGCACGCCCGTGACGCCACGTGACCGGCCTGTTTCAGCCGACAATGGCGATCGCGGACCGGTTCGACTTCGTCTTCCAGACGTACCGCCGACTGACCGGCGGCGAGTACCTGGGCTTCAACAACGCCGTGTACCTGTCGGAGCGGCAGGCCGCCGACAGAAACTTCGCACTGGCCTACTTCATGCGCGAGAACAAGTGCTTCCCGCACGTCCAGGATCTCGGCGAGACGCTGGACTTCTACTTCCAGGTGAGCGGGGTGGCCTAGAGGAAGGAAAGTGAATCGGTGTTCAGGTCAGCTTAGGTCGGATGAGGTCAGGTCACAGGACTGAACGAAAAGGACGGGATAGGCCAGAAGCTGAAAAAAGATTGTCTTGGGTTTAGGGTTGTTTTCAGTTGCAAGCCACAGTATTGACAAGCCACCGATGACAAGCCAGTATAGCAAGCCACCGATTGACAGAGTGAGGACAACGTAGTTCAGCGCATTGAGTCCTGTGAATGACAGCCAGTCAGTTCTGGGTACCACACCTATCCGAATCAGAACGCAAATGTTTTCCCGCAGGGTCTCCGTTGGTTCGGGCTTAACCAAGCCTCCTCAGACCTAAGCGTTTACTTACACTTTTGTCACAGCTATCTGTAAATGGATACATTCTAGAACAGTGTGAGTGATACAATATCTTTGTACTTGAACGCACCCGAGTTTGACTCCCATTTTTTCATCAATTCCGCTCTTTCATTGTCTTCATCGCCACAACCGTCGTGAGAGGAGGTGACTTCGCTGCCATCCAAAAGCAAAAAGGCCTAAGAGCCATTAGTTAACATAGCACTTACGCCCTTTTGCCGTGGACAGCAGGTGGGGCAGTATGTGGTCACGGAAAGCCTAGCAATGTCTTACTGCAACGATAAGTTTCGATCGCCTGTAGTTTGGTTTCGTCGTAGCTACCAGTACTCTCTCCTCACACACACGTTCACGCACATGCACACACACACACACACACACACACACACACACACACACACACACACACACCACACACACACACACACACACACACACACACACACACACACACACACACACACACACACACACACACACACACACACACACACACACACACACACACACACACACACACACACGCACGCACGCACGCACGCACGCACGCACACACACACACACACACACACACACACACACACACTCACACACGCGAGCACTGCAGCAGTTCGTTAATCAGATATCCTCTCCCCGTCGTCAGATGGGCTCGCACGTGACCACCAGCTACCCTAAACGTGGCCCACCGTTGGCGTCACCTCCCCACGCCAGAGGTGTTGCGTTGTTTCCGCCAGCTCCCCAACGCAACAGCCCGCTGGTTACGCCTACCCTCTGCTCGGAAGTGTACCCTCGTGATCCTCTGCCCCTTCCTTCCGCTGTTGCCGTCCATTGTCAGCCTCTTCCCTGTCCGGCGTGTCACCTCGTGACATCGGTTCTCCAGCATCTGCCAGTCGTCCACTAACACTCCATCCCGAGTCAGCTGTGACCCCCGGTGACCAGCAGTGACCCCGCTGACCCGCCGTCGCCGGCCAGATGTGCTCGCTGGAGGCCACGTGTGAGTCGGCATCGGTGATCGCCGGCACCCTGGCCAACGGCGGCATCTGCCCCATCACCGGCGAGGCCGTGCTGGAGCCTTCAGCCGTCCGCAACACCCTCTGTCTCATGCACAGCTGCGGCATGTACGACTACAGCGGACAGTTCGCCTTCAAGGTGAGGCTTCGGCGGATAGATCCCATTTGATGTGAGCCCGCGGCGAAGCATTGCCATTAATGTCCGTCCAGCTCGGCTCGTACCCTGTGTAATAAGACATGAACATGCCGTGGTCGTTGAAATGCGCGTTATATTAGCGCCATATCTTTAATGGGACAGCGTTTAGTATGATACAATGATTATTTTAGTCGATCACCTTTTTGGAACATCTATTTTAGGGCGTTCGCTCGCGCCAATATTTCTTTTCTCCCCCGCCCCCCCCCAAAAAAAAACCGCTTTGGTCCGTGACGGGCCACAAGTCTACAACAGTTCACTTTTACTGCGCCATCTTGTAACGGCACGTGACAGTCGTCAGAGCCACGGTCGTTCGCGAGTCTACAACAGTTCACTTTTACTGCGCCATCTTGTAACGGCACGTGACAGTCGTCAGAGCCACGGTCGTTCGCGAGCTGCCGTAGCCGCGGCCCGCGCCGAGTTCGGCAACGTGGGATACCTGTCCTGAAGCTGCCTTGTGACCTCGCTTGCCTGAAGACTTGACCTTGACGTTGCGACCGAGCGGCGCGAGGTCGGTGAGCGCCTGCGGCAACTTTGCAGTGTGGTCTGCCAGCCAAGTCGGGCGTGTCGGGCGTGATCCTGCTGGTGATCCCGAACGTGATGGGTCTCGCCCTCTACTCGCCCGCCCTGGACCGCTGCGGAAACTCGGTGCGCGGCGTCAAGCTCTGCAAGGTTCGTGACAGACGGCTGGGTGAGCGTGGTCACGCCGGTCATGACGTGTGGAGGGCTGGGCGTCCGGCCGAGTGAAAAGTTGAATTTCCTGAGCATTTCACTCCCCACTTCCGCTTGTTTGCACGTGCTTGGGCGCACCTACATCCAGCTTGGTGCATTGCTGTTGTCGTCTCCGAGAAATACCACCGACTTTGTTCTCAACTTATCTTCCTGACAGCCCTTTTATATGAGACCTGCGCATGGAAACTCGATATTTCACAATGCATGAACACAGGGCATCATAAATTGTGTGACCTGTTGTATCTATATGGTAATATGTGTAAACTGCACCGGTCAATATCGTGTAAGCCAGCTGTTCCTGCCTATGTGTTTTCTGTATTCAGCTGCTTAATTTTCCTGCTGGTTTCCTGGTATATCCCTGGTGCGATATTTTCTCCAGTAAAAATGCTTCCTGTGTCGCGTGACATGTCCTCTCTTGTCCTTTGCTCACTCCATGTGCTTTACTGCCTCGTTGTTTCTTTTCCCTGCTGCTCCCCACGGGCTGCTCACTGCTAAGACACAACCGTCCACATTCTTTCCTTGCTCTCTGTTACCTTTTAGGCCCACTTGCTTACCTGGTCGTACCCCAGCAACAGTCGTCTCACTCATCCTTCGTCGCGGGTGGCGTGGTCACATACCTAGGAGTTCGAAGTTCTTATGTTCACAGGCACCGACGTCCAGAATACAAGGAGATGCTAGTTAGCGACGTTATGAAGCAACCATTGACTACATAGTCAATACTCGACGCTTTTGAAGTGTGCTTGTAATTATGAAAGGTCAAACGCAGCGGTCTAATATTGACGTATGAACACTGCCTGCATAATAACGCAGTTTAACCAGTACCTGGTGGTGTATTGCGTCAGCATAACAACTCCTTTGTTCTTTTGCTCCAAAACGTGTGTTCCTCATATGAAGTCATGTTTGAGCTAACACATTGACCAATCCAGTAAAGCACTGCACATCAGGATCACGTGACTCTCACTGCTCCCACCGCTCATGCCGCCGCTGTAGGAGCTCGTGTACCGCTTCAACTTCCACCACTTCGACAACGTCTCGGCGAGCGGCGAGAAGATCGATCCGCGCAAGACAAGCAACGAGAAGCGGGCTGATATGGTACACCGCCTGCTGTTCGCCGCCGCCGCCGGCGACCTCACCGCCATCAAGCGCTACAGGTGGGTCCGCACGGGCGGAGGTAATGCCGGCGGGAGACACTGCAGGTTCTCGGCCCCGGTGTCAGGTCAGGCAGAGCGGGATGGTGATGAGGCGAGGATGGCGGCGGTGATGCGGCGAGGATGGCGGCGGTGATGCGGCGAGGATGGCGGTGGTGATGAGGCGAGGATGGCGGCGGTGATGCGGCGAGAATGGCGGCGGTGATGAGGAGAGGATGGCAGCGGTGATGCGGCGAGGATGACGGCGGTGATGCGGCGAGGATGGCGGATGTGATGAGGATAGGATGAAAGCGGTGATAAGGCGAGGATGGCGGCAGTGATGAGACGAGGATCGCAGCGATGATGAGGTAAGGATGACTCCAGTGACGAGGCGAGAATGAAAGGCGGTGATGAGGCGAGGATGGCGGCGATGATGAGATGAGGATGGCGGCAGTGATGAGGCGAGGATCGCAGCGATGGTGAGGTAAGGATGACTCCAGTGACGAGGCGAGAATGAAAGGCGGTGATGAGGCGAGGATGGCGGCGGTGATAAGGCGAGGATGGCGATGGTGATGAGGCGAGGATGGCGGCGGTGATGCGGCGAGGATGGCGGCGGTGATAAGGCGAGGATGGCGATGGTGATGAGGCGAGGATGGCGGCGGTGATGCGGCGAGGATGGCGGCGGTGATGAGGCGAGGATGGCGGCGGTGATAAGGCGAGGATGGCGGTGGTGATGAGGCGAGGATGGCGGCGGTGATGAGGCGAGGATGGCGGCGGTGATGCGGCGAGGATGGCGGCGGTGATGAGGCGAGGATGACGGCGGTGATGCGGCGAGGATGGCGGCGGTGATGAGGCGAGAATGCCAGCGGTGATGCGGCGAGGATGGCGGCGGTGATGAGGCGAGGATGGCGGTGGTGATGAGGCGAGGATGGCGGCGGTGATGCGGCGAGGATGGCGGCGGTGATGAGGAGAGGATGGCAGCGGTGATAAGGCGAGGATGACGGCGGTGATGCGGCGAGGATGGCGGCGGTGATGAGGAGAGCATGGCAGCGGTGATAAGGCGAGGATGGCGGCGGTGATGAGGATAGGATGAAAGCGGTGATAAGGCGAGGATGGCGGCAGTGATGAGACGAGGATCGCAGCGATGATGAGGTAAGGATGACCCCAGTGACGAGGCGAGAATGAAAGGCGGTGATGAGTAGAGGATGGCGGCGGTGATGAGATGAGGATGGCGGCAGTGATGAGGCGAGGATCGCAGCGATGGTGAGGTAAGGATGACGGCAGTGACGAGGCGATGATGGCGGCGGTGGTGAGGCGATGATGGCGGCGGTGATGAGGCGAGGATGGCGGCAGAGATGAGGCGATGATGGCGGTGGGGATGAGGAGAGGATGACGGCGGTAATGAGGAGAGGATGGCGGTGGGGATGAGGAGAGGGTGGCGGCGGTGATGAGGCGAGGACGCAAGCGGTGATGAGGCGAAGATGGCGGCGGTGATGAGGCGAGGATGGCGGAGGTGATAAGGGGAGGATGGGGGCGGTGATGAGGCGAGGATGGCGGCGGTGAGGAGGTGAGAATGGCGGCGGTGATGAGGCGAGGATGGAAGCGGTGATGAGGCGAGGATGGCGGCGGTGAGGAGGTAAGGATGGCGGCGGTGATGGCAGCGATTTCGTCTCGAGAGCCGGCGTAGGGGAGGGATTTGGTAATGGCGGTGGAGGTACGTGCATGTATTGTAATGTTATGAAAACGTTGGTGGGCCAGGCTGTAAGAAACCTCCCAGCGGCTCCTACCCAAACTTTACAACCACAGCTCATAGTCACCTTCAATCTTGACCTTGACTTTGATGAGAGGTTCTTCTCTAAAGCGAGTCCGTCGAGGGCCATGAGCCATGGCGTGTCCCGTAAGAGCGTGGCATGGCAATAGTCTTCCCGCACCTGACAGTCATCACAATGTCTGCAGTAGCTGTCCATAACCCCTCGCGGTGCATACAGCCTGATGGAGATGCACCTGGAGGCGGCCGACTACGACGGACGGACGGCGCTCCACCTGGCGGCCGCCGAGGGACATGTTCACATCGTCAGATTCCTCCTGCAAAAATGCAGCGTTCTGGTCGACGCCAAGGTATGCCATAATGACCACATGCCATAATGACCAGGAAGGAACATGCGCAGTGTCTTGGCTTTGCGCAAGGTACATAGTAACCCTGATTTTCGTAAGATACGACACAAAATCACAGTCGCTTCGCGACCAGGTAAAATGTGGTAGATATTTTGTAGCTCACCGCCCAGGTAGGTTCAATGTGTTGCATGGGACAACGTTGTAATGGTCTCCAAGCCCACGCTTAATCTTTGGTGATATTATCAAACGCACGATAATCGCTTCGTCCGTTTCCGTTTCATTTTTTCCTGTTTTTGAAAGAGACGCCTTCGAGCCTCTCTATAAGTTGTATTGGTGATCAAGGTCAACATCTGTCTCCTTTTTCATACATTCCAGAACACATCTTGATCATCCGTATGCTAGGCGCATCTGCTTGAGGACGAGTATCTGAGAACGAATGGTGCAAAGCCTACAGCTGTCGCTGATGTTTTTCAGGACCGCTGGGGCAGCGCTCCGGTCGACGATGCTCAACTTGCTGGTCATGAAGATATCACCAAGCTGCTGCTGAAGCACTACGTAGAGAGCGGCATCACCATCCCCGACTCGTTCCAGCCCGGCGAGGTGAAGCTCAACAACCTTAACAGCAAGATGAAAGACACCGTCATCACCGAGAAGCCCAAGAAGCAGGGCACGAAGGAGCGTAACTCGAGCGACGAGAACGCGCCGGTCGTGAAGTAGGTGACGACGGCGGTGGGGAGGTCGGTGAAGTAGGTGACGACGGCAGTGGGGAGGTCGGCGAAGTAGGTGACGACGGCAGTGGGGAGGTCGGTGAAGAATGAGCAGGCGAAGATGAAAAGACCGCTTAAGTTGCGGGACGCAATGCCGAAGATATGGCCACAGTTGTGGGAGATGATGTCGAAGAGCGCGATGAATCAGTGGAGATAGAGCTCTTCTTAATAGTGGAGCACGGATCTTGTGGAGCCTTGCCAGGACCCTGCGTGCTCTGTTGGAAGTATGGCAACGCCTCACCATTGGATGCACCGCTTGCCTTTGATGACTCTAGGAGATATCCACACAACTGTCGGCGATGCTGTTCACAGGACGCCGAAGGTGTCATTGTCTGGTGAATACTTTACAGCGTTTAGACGGCTGCTCCCGGTGGTGGTGGGACAATATGGCGGAAACGGCAGACGGAGGTAGCGTCGTTAGGAACACCAGCGGATACATGATGTAGCTGTGCATGATACAGAGCTCTGAGGTCACTGAAGGTGCGAGATGCGTTGAGAGACGTCACGTCAAACGTCAACCATTGGAAACGTCACGGCTCAACTCCGATGAACAGGTTCGACGAACAGAATGAACAGGGCGAAAGAAGACCATTCATGCTTAAGAGTGCATTCCTGACAAATGATTCACACCGGCAGAGAATGCACCAACTTCACTGGTCGAGTAATGCACAGGCATAGTAAATGATAAAATTCTGTGTGTGATGAATGCACTTTCATTTCGAGAGATTATTTTAGAAACAGGATGGCTAACGAAGCCTATTGCTCAGGGAAACTGTTAACCTATGGGAGATAGGTTCTTGAAGACAGCGGTTTTGCAGAAGACTGTCGCAATAAATGTGTTACAAGCCATGAATGGCATGCAATCATGCACCGATAGGTGTGATGTTACCCGGCTTAATTGCTTTTTCCAGTCGCATCCGTCCATAAAAATTCAGTAACCTGTCCTTAAATGGGACTGCCTGAAAAAGGAAGCATTTGCAGAATGTTACAATCGATTCGTCAAGCGAGACAACCTTTGCTTCACTACCCAGAGAGAGTGTTCTAAGCAGCCTATCATCTTTTGCCTCTGATTGAGCTACTACCACATGCACCAATAGGTGTGATGTTACGAGGCTTAATTGCTTTTTCCAGTCGCACCCGTGTCTAAAAATCCAGTAACTTGTCCTCAAATGGAAGTGCCTGAAAAAGAAGGCATTTTCAGAATGTTACAGTGGATTCGTCCAGCGAGATAACCTTTGCTTGACACCAGGAGAGAGTGTTCTAAGCAGCCTATCATCCTTTGCCTCTGATTGAGTTATTACCACTTGTTTTTAAGGAATATAACTATCTGAGGAATTTAGCAGTACCCAGTTTTATTATATCTGGCTAAAGAGGGGCTTTCGAAGTCAGGTGGGCGCTAATACTTGGGATCAGAAGGTTGAGGCAGCTAGGGCGACGTGTAGCTTATGAAAGCAAGCGTTGAAATGGAAATTGATCCCCTAGACTAGAATAACGTCTACGACGCCTACCGCCTAAGCCCCGCCGTGAGATGATTGAAATATTTTCAGTATGGTTATTGAAATACACATTTTTAGTGAGTCTTCATACTGCTTACGATATACACATACACACACCATCGGCGCAACGGGGAGTCTTCGTTAGCAGTTTTGTGACACGTACACTGCATGATACGAAGTCATCAAATTGAGTTCTGGAAAAAAGTGTAAGCTTTGTTGATATTACACGAATCACGCACTGCGCGTTTTGGATAGGGATTATTTTAGGGCTTAAGTGTCGGGCCGTTGCTACTTGACTGGACATCAGTCTGTGTGCACACCTCACAGTTCATAAAGTGCAGACCCTGCCGGAGCACCCTACCTCTATTGAAATAAAAGAACACGCGCTTTGACAGTGTTCCTGACACGCACTGGAGCACCGGCTAGTCGGCGGTCAAGTGCTGTATGAGCACACAGTTGCCATTATTCATTACACACTGGAAGCTCAGGCGCTCTGGGCTGCGTTGTGTTCTGACTGAAGGAACACAGTTACCCCTGCATAATACAAACCAAACGTCAATACAGGCATGTTTCAAAACATTTTCGGGTATAAGAAAGGCGTACCTAGCTTTGTCATGAATAGCGGCAAATTTCATGCTCGTCATACATAAATAAGCAAACGTCAGGATATAAAAATGTGCAGGCTCGCATACGCTCCGTATTCAGGCTTACAATTTTGCTGTCCCAGATACTGATATAATGCTATGCCCACCACAAGGACGTTACCAAGCATCATCTCGGAACTGGAGAGAGCAAAATTAAATCTGAGATGGCAGCCTGATCTGAAAATGACATCATAAATCGCAAAATATAAAAAGATGTCTTCTACGGAAAAATACAAGTGTTGCTTAGCAAGGATGAGACAGCGATGTAGAAGAAAATGAGTTTTCCTATTCGTGCCGTACGATCTACGCCTCTCGCACTGGACCGTCTGCATCTCCAGAACTTCAAATAAGACAAAGCCGTTGCGTCGAAATTTGTGGGGTTTATTTGCAAGCAGTGTATACATTACCACACTTTGCCACGCAAGTCGCGGCCTGCGATACCGGCTGCGACTCCGAGGGTATTTACGAATAGGAAGATTCGCATTGCATCGCTATGTTAACACTTCGCATCGGCCACTTGGGCACAGGGTTGGCTTGGCCACAGCTAACGACTGCCTAGTAAAAAAGACGTTAAAACGCAAACGGGGCAGATGCAGCAATGCTCATATATTATATACACATTTCATACCTACTTGAACTGTTGGAGTAGGTTTGCGATGAAACCCGTACACACCATCCACTCGTTCATTTTCCGATTCCTTCACGATATTGACCCGCATGAAAAGCAGACGACCACGCGTGCCTCCAAACTCGAGTATCGGCGGTAGAAGATAACTGAGATGTCACGTGCCGCAGTGCAATGCGGTTCTTGCTGACGTCACTTCAAGTCTTGTCCCCTAAGCCTGGAATCAGACGTTGAAAGTTTGAGAGGGCGCAGTATCTACAACCTTGGTTAGGAAGCCAACTTTGTTGATAGATGCGACGGTAGACTGAGCGCTGCCGCTGCTGGCCTGGTCCCACATGGCTTCATGGCTCTGGCCGGATATGACGTGGCAAGCTGGGTCTCACGTCACGGAGCTATTTTGATTTGAAATTGGACCGACTGTCTAGCCCTGAGTCAGTCCCGCTTCCAAACTCAACGATGTAGTCATTTTTGGGATCGAAGGTCACGTCGTCGTCCTGCTTGCAAGTAACGTCACCGTTCGGCCCGTGTGTGACGCCATCGTCCAAGTCGTGTGTCATGTCAGTGCCCTGCTCGGGAGCCGGAACCATTTCATCTTGGTACCCGACGTTGTCGCCGATCTCAAAAGCACCATCGCCGTTCAGCTCCAAAATACGGTCATGGGATGGCTCGCTAGCGATAGGATCCCCTTCGCCGGTGACGTCACCACTCTCCTCGGGTATGACGTCACGGTCGCGTGCCGCCCCCGAGGCGTGGGCCGCCGTGCCGCCGCCGTGTCGGTGCCGGTGGTGGTGGCGGTGGCGGCCGTGGCCACGAGCGGGCGCCGGCGCGCGCAAGATCCCCTTCAGTGGCGCCACGTTCCCGGGGCCGAGCGACGGTGGCGCCGCCCTGCCGGCGCTCAGACGCGACAGAGCTTCTGTGTAGCCCCGCAGGCTGTCGCGGACGACTTCGCGGTGCAGCCCCAGATCGGCGAACACTTCGAGGAGCGCCTCGCGGTGATTGAAGGGTGCGTCGCCGCTGTCGCCGCTGCTGGTGGTGGTGTCGGTGGTGTCGGGCGCGGCCGCCTGCTCCTCCGACAGGCCGCGGTACACACCCGGCTCAGGGCTCGGCGAGATGAGATCTGAGGGGCCGTGTGCGACGGTCACACGCGGCAGCGGCGGTAGCTGGGGCTGCGGAGCACGCTATGTCAAACTTCTGATTGATGCTACGCGGCCACCGGCCATCGGTCACACGACAAAGAAGAATAAACATTGCAAAGTAATCCAAAAAATGCGGGGGAGATACTCCTGACAATAGCGGGGAATATATACCTCTTGTCTTGAACCAGCTTTCATGCAAAGTCTCAACACCTGTATTAAATACCGCTCACCATGTTTTAAATATTCCTTATCTACTTTCCAACAAACAAATACAGCATCAACCACTGGTAGTGAATGATGCATGACGCATGCAACAGCTTCCACACTGGTCACAGTTGCGATAGGCATCATCTGAGCACTTCGCCATCGGCAGATACTCATCCCGGTAGCCTCGCCACACCAACTGCTTTCAGCATCATCCACTGGTGACGGACGCCCATAACTTACCCGCCAAGTCCCCAGCGCCGTCTCGCTCGGCCTCGACCGCAGCCCGACCCACGGGGTACACCCAGCGCCGTCTCACTCCACCTCGACCGCAGCCCGACCCCGGGGTACACCCCGGCCGTCTCACTCCACCTCGACCGCAGCCCGACCCCCGGGGTACACCCCACTACGTCTTACTCCACCGCGACTGCAGCCCGACCCCGGGGTACACCCAGCGCCGTCTCACTCCACCTCGACCGCAGCCCTGCCCACGGGGTACACCCAGCGCCGTCTCACTCCACCTCGACCGCAGCCCGACCCCGGGGTACACCCCGGCCGTCTCGGTCGGCCTCGACCGCAGCCCGACCCCGGGGTACACCCAGCGCCGTCTCACTCCACCTCGACCGCAGCCCGACCCCGGGGTACACCCCGGCCGTCTCGCTCGGCCTCGACCGCAGCTCGACCCTCGGGCCACATCCCGCACCGTCTCTCACCGTCCTGCTGGCAGCTCCACTGGCGGTGGAAGCGACACAGGCGCCGCCTCAGCGCGTGCTTGAGCGCGCTGGCGGCGCCGCCGACCCTGCGCCGGAACTGGGCCGCGCAGTCCGTCTCCTTGTGGAAAAACACCACCATGCCCAGCAACAGGAACAGGAAGAGGAAGATGCCCAACATCTCCGAGATCAGCACACCTGGGGGCGGCGGACTCGGCAGTTAAACGTCGGCAGTGACCCTTGTAGACATTAGCTGGATATAATGAAGACGTAAGCACATGAAGTGCGTATCTAGATATGGATCCAAATAGGAGTGGGAAAATCACTGCACCACTGGCAGACAGTGTGATATATATATATATATATATATATATATATATATATATATATATATATATATATGTACTCCAAGGACAATATAAGCGCATCCCCATCAACCAGGCGACAGGCTCCGGCAAGACAATGGTTAGGCTGCGTGCCTGGAAATCAGGGGTACGGGGTTCGACTCTCGCAATGTCCACTTTTCCTGCGAGGGTAAGAGGCAACAACGCCACATACTCTAAGCCGCTGAATGCGTCGTAAGACCCCAATGACAACAGACACCAGCCAGCTGGGACACTCATTCCGGCACCATCTACCGCGGCCCCCATGGTCTGCAGCACAGTACGTAACCACTGCTGAGGCCACCACAGCCAGCAGCGCGGTACGCCCCCCTCTGCCGAGGCCCCCATGGTCTGCAGCACGGTACGCACCCTCTGCCGAGGTTACTATGGTTGGCAGCACAGCACGCTCCCCCACCCCCCCCCCCCCGCCGAGGCCTCCATGGTCGGCAGCACGTTACGTACCCTCTGCTGAGGCCTCACAGCTGGCAGCGCGTTACGCACGCTCTGCTGAAGCCTCCATAGCCCGCAGCGCGGTGCGCACCCTCTGCCGAAGCCTCCATAGCCGGCAGCACGGTACGTACCCTCTGCTGAGGCCTCCATGGCCGGCGCTCTGATGCGGTTACCCTCGCGGACCAGACTGAGCTTAGCCTGGGCCGTCAGCCGCTCCAGCAGCACCACCATCTCGCGCCGCCGCTCGTACGCGTCCTCCGTGTCAGAAGCCGGGACGTCGGCGCCAGACATGTCGTCTGTAACACACCGGTATGTTTGGTATGCTGTCTGTAACACAGCGGCATGGTTGGTATGTTGTCTGTAACACACCGGCATGGTTGGCACATTGTCTGTAACACACCGGCATGATTGGCACGGTGTCTGTAACACACCGGCATGGTTGATACGCCGTCTGTAACACACCGGCATACTTGGTATGTCGTCTGTAACACACCGGCATGGTTGGCGCATTGTCTGTAACACACCGGCATGATTGGCACGGTGTCTGTATAACACCGACTTGGAACTAGCTGCGATAATTTAAAGAAACGTGCCTCAGCCAACATGTGTTCGCATTGTGATGTTTGGCCGTTTATGGTGGAAAAAAGCCAGCCGATGGTCTGTAGGCTATTTTTCAACAAATAAATTTGCTCTCCTAGAAATTTGTTTTCTAACACGAGCTGAAACGCCGTGTGCAGCCTAGAGCACCGCAAAAGTAAGCTGATGACCTTGTGAGCACACAACAGTGCTTTTGAACGTCTTGCGACGAACCCTTCGTTCCATCCAAATGCAGCCTTAATTCAAAATCACTATTTATCATGAACAGCAGCGTCAATGATGTCAAGGAATGTCAAGAAAGGAAGGCCAGTGGTTGTAAAAGACATCAATTTCCATGTTTTTTAACGTTTGGGCATGAACAATATAGCACATCACGTACGCCATGCATCGGTACATATTGTGTTGATGTTCCCTGCTTTCATCCACGGGTGGGTGCTAAATGACCACTGCAGTCGACGTACCCCTTATAAACAACAGCAAAATTCTCACCCACGGAGAGCACGCAACACTGCCTTCGCATCCAACACAGAGGCCAACTACTCACCCGCTGCTCGATGCGATTGAGTACTCCGTATCTGGTACTTGTTTACCTCTGTCGGCCCAGCAGACACATTCAGAGCACTCGAGGTTGACACGAATC